AACAACAACAACAACAACAACAACAACATGCATTATTGGGAAAGTGCAGTGTTTAGGATTAGATAATATTCAAGTGAATATTTTTTCCATGCCTCATCCACGTATCATACTGTCAGAGTCCATTGGGACATATGTGTCCTACATAATAGCTATGAAAATCTATCATTACCTAAGAATTTTTTTGATTAAAAAATACTCAATGATTCAGCATGTATTTCATTATCAAATATAAATATATATAATCTTACAAACAAAAAACTGATTCAGCAATGAAAAGGTTAACTTCTTTACCTCCCCACAGTAGGCCAAGCTCTATTCAGTCCCCAAAGCATGAAATCCCTGGCACTCAAGAACAAGCCAGAGTGAGTGTCTGATGTGATGGAAAGAGCATTAGATTTGGAGTCAAACCTGGATCTTACAAATCTGGCTCCTTAGCTAGTTAACTCACTGTGTAATCATGAACAGGTCTCTTCCCTTCTGGTTATAAAAAGAGGGTGTTCAACTAGATCAGAAGTTGCAAACCAGAGGTCTATGACCATATTTAGACTGTACATTTTTAATAAAAAATTTTATTTTGCTTTGGGTGAAAGTTTACAAAGCAAATTCATTTTCCATATAGCAGTTCACACGTTTTGCTTCATGACTTTGACTGCAATTCCACACAATTAACAGCTCTCTTCCCACTTCCTCCCTGTAGTTACCTCTTCCCTGTGTTCTTCTTTCCTATGCATTCTTGCTCCCTGAACTATCTTCCTGTGCAAATACTGCCCTTCTGTTCTCTTATGACTGATTGTTCTAAGGAGTGTATCTACCTGATGTAAATGTTCACCCTATGTGCCTGTCTACTGTGTGGTTGGAAGCCATGAGCGTGGCCATAGTCTTAGAGGTCTTACCAGGCTCTATCAGACCACTAAATCTGGTCTTTTTTATGATTTTGAGTTTTGTTCTCCCACTCTAACCTGGATCTCCTGCACTTATGCCTTTCTGAGTGGTTGACAGTTGTAGCTGGACATCATCTAGTTCTTCTGGTCTCATGTTCATATGAGCTGAGGTTCTCATGGTCCACTAGTCCCTTGGATTCATTGTTTCCATGTGTCTTTGGTTTTCTTCATTCTTCTTTGTTCTGGATGAGAGAGACCCATTGTTGCATCTAGATGGCCACTTGCAGGCTTTTAAGACCCCATAGATTGTACAGTATTTTAAAAAATGAACATTTTAAAATGAAAGTTCAAGAAAGGTGACATTTGAGCTGAAATCTCGATGAGGAAAAGATAAGCTATGCCAAGAGGGAAGTAGGAAGAAAGGACTCTAGAGTTGTTGTAAAGAATAACTGAGACAATGTATGCAAACCACTTACCTTGTTGGTAAATGCCACTCGATAAACAGATGCTGTTTTTTTTTATTATTAAGGAGCTCTAGTGGTATAGTGGTTAAGGCATTTGACTGCTAACCAAAAGGTTGGTGGTTCGAACCTACCAGCTGCTCTGTGGAAGAAAGATGACACAGTCTGCTTCTATAAAGATTTACAGCCTTGGAAACCCAATGGGGGTTGCTATGAGTTGGAATTGACTTGATGGAAGTGTTTTTTTTTTCTCTGTTATTATTGTAGTAAACACCAAAAAACAAAAACAAAAAAAATCAAACCCACTGCCATCAAGTCTATTCTGACTCGTTAGTAACCTCCATTGGGTTTCTGAGGAGGTCAATCTTTATGGAAGCAGATTGCCCAGTCTTCCTTCTGCGGAGTGGCTGGTGGGTTTGAACTGCCGCCCTTCTGGTTAACAGTCAGATGTCTTAGGTACTGAGCCACCAGACCTCACTATGTGGTAAATATGTATGTATCAAATTGTTTGCCATATCAGCATTCTGCAAATACGCTATTCAGTGACATTAGTTATGTTCATCACGTTCAACCGTTCTTGTTGTTGGGTGCCGTGGAATCCATCAACTCTGAGCAACCCCATGGGACAGAGTAGAACTGCCTCATAGGGTTTTCTTGTCTATAATCTGTTATGAAATGAAAGCAGATTGCCAAATCTTTCTCCTGCAGAGCCATTGGGTGGGCTCAAAATGCCAGCCTTTCAGTTAGCAATCAAGTGCTTAATCGTTGCACCACCAGGGCACCTTGTTCAATCATCACCCTTATCCATTTCCAAATTTTCCCATCATGCTTAACAGAAACCCAGTGTCCAGTGTCCCTTAAGCAGTAAACCCTCCTTTTTCCCTTCTTTCTGCCTCCCCTTGGAAACTACTAATAAACTTTGGTGTCTATATACTTCTTCGTCTTAAATATTTTCATATAAGTGGAATCGTGATATTTGTCCCTTTGTGATACTGCAAAAATTAAACAGTAATTTAATGCTTCTGGTTGCATGATTAACCTGATAACTTGTCTATGGAGGCTCAAAAACACATTATAAGCTTTTATCTTGCTGTTTAAAACCTTGCCATGGCTCTTGGAACAATTCCAGTGGAAACCACTGAAATAATAAATCACTGAAAAGATTCATTGAACATTTACTATGTGCTCAGTTACATTGTGCTAAAAACATCAAATGTATTAGCTCATTTAATTTTCCCAACATGCCTATGAAGTGGTGCCATTTTATAATTAGCCTCCCTTTACAGGTAAGGAAACTGAGGTTCAAACACGTAGTAAATGACAGTTCTTGGTTTAAATCCAGATCTCAACCCACTCCCCCCCAACAAAAAACCTTGCTTTGTTAACCACTTATTAATTCTCTAAGCCAGAGAAGATACCTCTTAGGACCAGGTTTCTGTTCATTAGGGCACCTCCAACTTAAGAGATAAATCTCCAACCAACAAACTCCACCACACTGGAAAAACTGCCTCACCTGAGCAAGAAGCCCCACCCTGGACACACACCCTGTCTGTCTTGGGTATCAACACACCTAAATCCACCCAAACGGAGTCCCTCTTCCCCTTCAAGTCGGCCTGTATTGCTGGCAGAGAGACTGTAGTCTTGGAGATAGTCTCCTTATTCAGAAGGAAACCCTTCACATTCCTGAACCCACAAAGATTAGAGTGTCGCAAAGATTAGAGTCTTGAAAACTCTATGGGCAGTTCTACTCTATGGGCAGTTCTACTATGTCTTATAGGGTCGCTGAGTCTGAATATACTTGACCACAACTAATTTGGTTCCAACGGGTTTAATGCAAAATGAAAAGATTAAACCAAGCTCTGGGCCCCTCTAAACATGGGAGTACATAGACTGTGAATCCATGAATCCAGCCTTGCTTCAGAGATACCCTTTCAAGTGATGGGCGATGATCCTTCAGTCAGAAGCTAAATCCTTCTGACGTGAGTGGAGTTGGGGTGAATGGGGGGGGGGATTAGGTACCCAATTCCCTGGACAGTCCATATTCGAAGACACACGCAGGGTAAACGTCCGTGAATTTGAGAGAACTTCCCTCGGCAGCACTGGGCTGCTAAGTCGAAGGTGGGCTGTTTGAACCCACCAGCTGGAGAAAGACAAGACGGGGCAGTCTGCTTCCGTAAAGACTGCAGTCTTAGAAACCCTATAGGTCGTTCTACTGCGTCCCATAGGTCACTGTAAGTCCGAATGGATTCGGTAACAGTGGGTTTATGTTTTGGTTTTCCCTTGGCAGAGACCCCCGACCCTCACCCGCGCCCCACGCCCTTCTCCAGCAGGCAAGGAGGTCCTCACTACTCGACTCTGCTTCACCTTCCCGGTGGGTGGGCCTCACCGAGTGAGGCCTATTACCCAGGCAACCGACGCCGTGAGCGGTGCATTGTGGTTTGCAACAAAACGCAGGCGAAAGATCCTAGGGGAACCATTCAGTGTCAGGACCAATGGGAGAGTCCTAGGGATTTCGTTAAGCCAATAGGGGCGTACGGCGGGGGGCGGGGCCGTCGGGAGCAGGGCGGGGCCTGGACACTAGGCGGCGGCGGCGGGCGTGGGGCAGCTTAGATGCGCCACGGCTTCGGTAGCGACGGCATCTCTTACTGCGCTTGAGCCGCTCTAACTCCTCCCTCAGGAGACCGTCGCTGTCGGCAGTCCGTGCTCTACGGTGAGAAACTCGCAGGCTCCGGTAGCGGAGCCTCACTTCTTGGTTTCGGCCCCCTTGCCGGACTTTTCCCGCCGTGTGGCCCGCGTGGCTGTGCTTACTGAGAAGTGGGTTGGGGGGCGTCGTCCCGGGTGTGGCGCGGGGGCGGGCTGGGGGCGCTGGCGCCTCAGAGGAGTGGCTCACACCCCAAGTTATGACTCTTGCCCGGGCCTCGCCCCCCCCCCCCCCCCCCAGGTAACCATGTGCGACCGAAAGGCCGTGATCAAAAATGCCGACATGTCGGAGGAGATGCAACAGGACTCGGTGGAGTGCGCTACTCAGGCGTTGGAGAAATACAACATAGAGAAGGACATTGCGGCCCATATCAAGAAGGTGAGAGGGGGGCGCGGGGGTCCGGGCGCTTTGTGCACAAATGGGTGAGTCACAACTTTGTCTCTGTCTCGGATCCTGCGACCCCAGAGCGCCTGGCAGAGATCCTTGGGGCACGTAGGGCGGTTTCGTTGCATAGAGGTTTCCAGAAAGGACGCAAACGAATTTTGCGCTCCTCTTGAGAAGACCAGACCCTCGGCACCCGAAGTTTTTTTATTACCACCGCTCCGCGGGGAAAAGCGCCACCTAACAACGGTTTCTAGGATCAAGGAGCAGCGGTTCCCCCTTCTGCATGATTCCTGCGCCGAGCGAGGATCCATCTGGGTGTTCTGAAGGGGGGAGCTGCGTGGGTGTTTGCAGCCCGAGCCCGAGCGAGCGCTTGCCAGCCTTGCAGTGGGGAGTCAGTCGACAGTTGAGGCATAAGTGGGTGGTGGTGGTGGTTGGGGACTTGAGGGGGGGGTGTTGGTAAATGGCAGTCTGTAGAAAGCTGAAAGGACTGCCAACTTCTCGTGCTGTGTTTGCTGGAAGGGAAGGAAGCTGGCAGCCTAAGCAATGGGAGGGTTCCAGTCGAGAATGAGAAGGTGAAAAGATTTCAGATGGAACAGAAATAAATACCTTTTCTGAAAAATGCAGCGCATTCATTTAGCTTGCGAATAGACTTAGAGATTTTTGTAGCGCATGCAATGCAGCAGCAGCCGGATTTTTCATAATTTCACCACAAAAACTTGCAAGAATTTTACAGAAATAGATTTGGCCTCTGCCTACACAGTCCACCTAGTGAAGAAAGCAGTAAAAACACGACAGCCCCTTGGGGTGGGGGGAAATAGGGGAAAGTTAATCTTGCAACTAGTCCTTGTGGACTAGGGGGTGGTGTAGCACCATCAAGATAGATGTGGAGAAGGGAGCCCTATCTAAATTACAATTAATGCAGAAACTTGACTGCTTGGCTCTCAGATTCTTCCTCCTTATTCATTTTATAGGCCCGTGGATAGCAAAGTGTCTTGTTTCCTTCAGTTTAAATTTTGACTCTCAGTTTTTGGTTTTTATGTCCTAATTGAGGCTTTTGTCCTTTTGAAAGTAGATTATTTCCAGTGATAACAGGAATGCATTTAAAACTATTGGTGATAAGGAATGCATTTTAAATGGGGTACTTTGGGCCAAATATTCACCGTCGTCTTGTGTTTTGGTTGTATGATGGGGGAGGTCCATTAGTTCTCTTTACACATAAGAACATGGTAGACTTCAGCTGCTCGCTCTTGTTGTCAGTGAACTGTGTAGTTACGAAGGTGGAATTATTGTAACCAAGAGCTCTCCCTCTGAGGCTGCACTTTTGCCATTTACTTCCCCAGCCCCCATTCCCATTTTAGCTCAGACTGCCTGAATGTTTGCATTAATGCACTATGTAGGCGATTGGGAGCTGGGGAACATTTCTTTCATTCTAAGAATCTGCAGATGCTAACCTTCCTCCTTTCTGCTCCTACAGGCTCTAACTTACGCAGCAGGCAAACGCTGACCTCCAGGTTAGCACTAAAATTCTAGCATCCTCATTTTCTTGTTTTTTTAAATTGTTTTAGGAATTTGACAAGAAGTACAACCCCACCTGGCACTGCATCGTGGGGAGAAACTTCGGTAGTTATGTGACACATGAAACTAAGCACTTCATCTACTTCTACCTGGGCCAAGTGGCCATTCTTCTGTTCAAGTCTGGTTAAAAGCATGGACTGTCCACATAACCCAGTGATCCACCAAAAAACAAGGACTGCAGCCTAAATTCCAAATACCAGAGACTGAAATCTTCAGCCTTGCTAAGGGAGCACCTCCATCTTTGAACCTTTCTTGTGTTATTTTGTACAGGGCCTTCTCTGTACTAGTTCGTTGTCGTTATAAAACAGTTAGCAAAACGGCCTACATTTGTATTTATTTTCTACTCCGTATTTTCCCCCACCTTATGTGTGTTCTTTCCTCACAATCCATTCCTTTCAAAAAATAATAAACCTGTTGGCGATGTGTGTGTTAACTACCATTTGTTCACATAATCTAGGGTTGAAAGCAGCCAATCACTTTAATCAGGTGACAGGCGAATAGGGATGAGTCCTTGAGGTGAATTTCTGTGGGATCACCTAGTCAGCGCTTAAGTCTCCCCCATGTGCGACTGTCATGCATAGAAGGACGGGTTGAGAAGTACTGCAGAGAAACCTGGATTAATTTTTACTCCTAATCTGGCAAATGCTATCTTTAAATGCTGATTTTGTTAGATGTTGATACAGAGTGTGGGTGTTGGTCTCAGGTGGTGTTGATGGATGTGTAATAGTACTTTAGCTGAGCTTTTTACACCTGTAAAGTAAGTTTAAAATTGAGGTAGTGGAGGTGCTTTACTGAGCTACCCAACCCCTCACCCTCTGCCAAGAGGATGCTCAATAAGATTGTGGTACTAAGGAAAAGGAAAGCATTTTTGAGCAGCCTCCATATGGTTCTCATAAAGTTTTAGCAAGAATTTAAAATGTTTAGCCTGCTGTGTTGCAACTAACTATTGTCAGAAACCAATTAAATGTGAATGGAAGTTTTTTTTTTTTTATTAAAAGACCTAGTTAAAATTACAGATAAGTAACCATTAACAGTTTCCTGCTGTGATTTTTAGGAAGACTAGCCTTTTCTGTGAAGAAAGCAAGTATGGCAGAGTTGGCATTTGTAGATGGAAAGGAAATAGCCAGAGACTGAAACAACTCATTCATCTTGGGAAACTGCAGGTAGCATCCTGGTTTTCTAGGTATCCAGAGTAGTCACAAGTTCACGGGAGGTTTTTTAAAGACCTTTTGTGAAGGCCTATAAAATGTAGTTAGGAGATAGGAACAGCCAGGCTGTCTACCCAGAGTTTTGAATTTGAATTGCTAGGTGAAGACTTACAAGCAGTATTAATTCAGTAACATCTGAAGTTTACCAGAACTCGTGGTTTTACAAGCCCTAGTGAAGTTGTGCCACATGAGATGAGGTACTGTGGAACTGCAATTGGGGTGATTTAGGTTTGTATTTGTAAGCTGACTAAAAGTTACAGCTCATATTCGCCACCTTTCTCGTCACATGGCTATTTGCATTTGAAGCCCAACCAATTTATTCAGCTTCCTAAGCTATGTCTGTCAACCTTGTCCATAGTTAACCTTATTCCAAGTTTGTCAGCCACCAGCAGAGACCCTAGAGCTTATGAAGCTCACAGCTTGATATTAAGGGTTCTGATTTTATCTGGCCCACATCTGTTCAGAACTGGCAGCCTTTATTTTTTTGATTCAGATGTGAGAAACCATGTGGCCGTGGAGAGGGGACTGGGCTGATGGTTTATGAAGTTCCTTCCAGTACCTGCTCCTTCCTGTTTATTTTTTTCTGTGATTTGGGTGAAAGAGCAAATTGGTTTTTCACTCAACAATTCATACGCATTTCACCCCCAAGATCGATGGATCCATCATTTGCATAGGTAGAGAGCAGACAGGGATGCAGAGATAAAAAGGGCATAGGGAAGAGACAGTCATAGGGAGGAGAGCTTTTTCGGGTTGGAGATTGTAACGGGCTATGGAAACCAAACATACGTGAACTGTTGGGAGGGAAACAAACTTGCTTTGTAAATCTGCATCCACGTCACAATAAAAAATTCAACAATTCATACACATTTGGTGACATTAATTGCAATCCCCACATTTACTCCCTGTGTTTACCATTTCGTGGTCCTTTCCTATCCCTTCCTGCCTTCGGAGCTTTAGCCCTGGTCAAACACTGCCCTTTTGATCTCATATGATTGGTTATTCTAAGGAGTGCATACCTCCCTGGTGTTACTGTTCACATTACAGATCTATTATTTGGCTGAAAGTTGACCCATGGAGCTTTCC